AATAGTATGACAACATTCCTAAAAATCTTTTTACGTCATCCGCATTTTTTGGATGTTCTATTTTATTTATGGCCTCTACTTTCTCGGATGATTTTGAAATTTTATCATGTTCAATTTCGTAACCCAAATACCGGATCTTAGTTTTAAAAAATTCACACTTACTTAAGTTTACGTGTAAATCATATTGTTGCAGTGTACTTAAACAATTTAATAAATTATGTTCACACTCTTCTAGAGTAGATCCATGTACAAGTATGTCGTCGAAGTAGGATATTGTCTTTGATAAATCTTGTAATATGTTATCAATAAGGTTATTAAAATCAGATGGTGCTGTTTTAATACCAAACGATAGTCTATTCATCCGAAATGTTCCTTTGTGTGTTGAAATTGTTTGTATTTCACTCGATTCTTTGCTTACCTTTAAATGTAGATACGCTTTGAACAAATCCAATTTGCAAAAATATTTTGAACCTTTTAAACTATTTAGTATATCGTTTGTTTTCCGAAACGGGTAGTTTGAGGAAACGAGAGATGGGTTAACACTTGTCTTGTAATCGACACACAACCTTACTTCTCCGTCTGCCTTTGGAATCACTACCAGTGGCGAACCCCAATCACTTGCAACGATTTTGCTTATGATGCCTTCTTTTTCCAGCGTTTCTAGTTCTTGATCAACTTTCTCTTTTAGTGCATATGGTATCTCTCGAGCTTTCATAAAAACAGGTTTTGCATTCTCTCTTAACCTCAGATTTAATTCGATATTGGGAACGCACCCTATTTTCTGCGTAAATACTTCTGGAAGCTTCTGCCTAATTTCATTTATTTCTGTTATTGAATTTACCACTTGACTCTCTTGTTTGTTTATTTTATTGTCTATCTCATGGAGATTTATTTTTAACTTCCTGATCCATGACCTTCCTAATAGTGGTGAATACTCATTTGGCACAATGTACATGCTTTCTTGACAAGCGCGATTACCATACTTAACTTGAACTATAGCTACTCCGTCTGGCACAAACACATTTTTTGTGTATGAACGGAAAGCTATCTTAGATCGCGAAACATATACTTCCAAATTCAAGTTTTCGAATAATTTTTTTGGTATTAATGTATAACTTACGCCTGAATCTACTTAGAATTTTTGATACTTTCCATTTATTTGTACAGTTACGTAATATTTTGGTGAAACGTTGCTGTCTATTTGTTTGTTTTCGAAAATATCAACTATTTTATTAAAATCATGATTTTGATTGATTTCTGTTTCATCGTCACTGACTTGATTTGTATCTCGCATTAATTTCTGAATGCATACTTTTTCGACGTGTCCCTTTTTTCTGCAAGCGCAACACTTTAGCTTAGAAGGATTTACCCGACAGTCTCGGACTCTATGATTACTGCGGGCACATCGAATACACAAGTCTTTAATACCTAGCTCTTCGAAGTTTATTTTTGAACGTTCATTAGTTTTGAAATTCATTCTTGGCAGATTGTTTTTGTTTGTAACAGGATTGATATCTGTGACAGAATTTTCAGTCGCTTCTACTTGGTTTGCCCTTATCTCTCTGCTATCACTTTTTGATGCTTCTAACACAACCGCTTTCTCTACAATTTCCTTGAAGTCTATATTTTGAGTCTGTAGCAATTTTTCTCGAATTGAATTATCTTTAACCCTACGAATAAATTGGGCTCGTAAAAACACGTCTGCGATATTTGCTTTGCACTCATATGGGGAAATAAAATTGCATTCAATGACCATACTTCTCAGTTGAGTCACATATGTATTTAGCAATCGATTCATTTTCCTGTTGATAATAGATAAAAACTTATGCTGAGACACAAACACGTTTCTTTTCGGACAAAGATGATCTTCTAATGCTTGAATAATTGTATTGTAAGGTAATTCCGTGACTTTTTTTGGTGCCATCAATGCGACTACTAATTTGTAGTGAATTGCACCAATTGAATTTATCAGCATTTGGTGGCATAATTCTTTATTTTCGAAAATGTTCTTGAGTTTTAAGTAATTTTCAAATCTTTGACGGTATAAATTGAAACTTTCCTTGTTCCCGTCGAAATTTTCAAACGGTAGTAGTAATGTTTGCGCCTGCCCCGAATTTTTCTCTGGCTGCCAACTACCCAATTGTTGAATAAGCTTATTTTGATTTGCATTAAATGCATCTAACAGTTGTGCAAATTGAGAAACATCCATTTATTATTTACTTTTTTTTTTTTACTTTACTTTTTTTTTTTCTCCTCGTCGCCAATTGTTGTATCTGTTTATTACTCAATTCAATACCAACTCTAGCATAAAATATTTACACAAAATGACAGTATTCATACTATGTCAAACTATCATAGAATATGGTAAGTGAAGGGATATAACACATATGTTAGCCAATAATAACTCAAAACAATGTGATCCAAAACTATCAATTTTAATTTCGAACAGGACATGGCACTATTGAGCAAGTTCACAGAGTTGCTAAAGAAATACGTTCTGTCTTTCAGCACAAAAAATACTTTCCGCCGTTTTCTTGGACGTAGCCAAGCTTAAGGTTTGGCACGAATAAAATAAAACATTAACTTCTGAAAATTATGCTTAAGCTATTGTTTTCATATATATCCTCTAGAAAATTTAGATTAAAATACAATCCTTTACTCTCAAATCACGTCCTTGCTACTTTCGCGGATGACACTGCAATTCTCAGTTCTAACAGTGACCACATGAGGCCATCCCAAAGTCTCTCGACTCATTTAAGTCTATTGGAGCAGTGGCTAGTAAAATGGCGCATAAAAGTAAACGACGCGGGTACATGTCACGGTTACTGTACGAAAAGAAACGTGTCCTCCTGTTAAGTTGAATAACATTATTATACTCCAGTAACATGAGTTACTCCATGAGTAACATGATATCTTGGCATTCATCTTGACAGAAAGCAAAAAAACTCAAATAAAATTGAAATCGCAGCAGTTTCATTGGCTTATTAATAAAAACTCTAAGCTAAGTCTGAAAAATAAAGTTCTGGTATACAATTCAATCTTAAAAACTGTCTGGTTCTATGGCGTAGAATTCTGGAGTACAGCATGTGCTTCTAATATCAAAAAAATACAAAGAGTTCGAAACAAATTACTTAGACAAATAACTGGCTCCTTAGTATCTCAAAAATGTCTAAAATATCCACAATGATCTCGGAATTCCAACAGTTGCAGACATCAGTAGAACATGCGGCCAAAAATATAAAGTGAAACTACACCGGCATAGTAATCCAATGGCGCAACAGCTGCTTTCGGATATCACAATATCTAGACTAAAGCGAAAAAGCTTTATGTTATACCACCTTAACGTGATTTTGCTAAAAACGTCTTCCTTTTGCCATATATATATATATGGTCATATATGTATAATCCATTTAATTTTATTATTAAGTTCAAATTCCTTTTTTGCACCTGTTAATTGCATCATGTTCCGCTTTTAAGATTGGACTACATAATTGTCAATTTCTAATCAAAAAGATACAATTAAAAATAAAATAATATAAAAAAAGGAAATGTTCCTGTTAACTGGCCCACTCTCGATTACTTTTTATGGGGCTTTGTTTAGTTATTGGCTTATACAAACATATCAGCTACTCTTGAAGCATTGGGACCCAATATTTATGCTATCACTGACGCCATACGGCCACATTTATTAGAAAAATTAGGCAAACATTGAAGTGATCGAATGGACTATGTAACCTGTAGTCGCGGCAGACATATGCCGAATATCATATGCAAAAAATAAAAGCCATGGAATTATCTACCAGGTTATAATAAAAATAATTTCATTCTTATAATATTTCTGTCTTGTATTATAATTTTAAGTTCTTATGTCGCTATAAAAAACACTCCTTTTTTACATTAGATGGAAAGCATCAAAAGGTACAGTGTGAGACTTGAACCCACTAAAACCACCTCTTAGAAATAACTGGATAAAATTTTCACAGCAATGTGAAAATTTCATTCCAGTTGTCAAGGGAGGGAGATACCCAGCAGGATAGGTTTAAATAAATAGTCTAAATAAATATGTTTAAATATTTTTTAAAGATATAACAAAAAATTGTAACACAAATTAATGATAATCATTAATATTTTTATAATTTTTATGTCTTAAATAAACGACTTAAGCCCAGTGAAAATTTAAAGTCTTATTCATATAATTGGTCGTATTATGGAATTGGTATAATTGGTCGAAAAGAATTATTCATGATTTTTTTAGCACACGAATATGTTACATACATGCCTTCATATTTTTCATGTTTGTAGTACTGCGGTGTCATAACGTCAATGTTTAAAGCTTCTGAAATCCTTTTAAATAACTATGAGATAAATCAAAAGTGAGAAAAAAATTAGAATTTGCATCAAAAATTATTTACAGACCAATACAACACATGCCTTCAATAGATTTCAATTGCCTTCAAATTGAATAGTATGCTTTAGTCCTGCTTTAGTCAACTGTTGCTCATTATATGATCATTTTTATACTACAATATTTCGAAGTGTGTGTTTCATGCTACATATGTATATGCTTTTTTGAAAATGTCATTGGGTTATATCTTTAATAATAAATTAGGTAATGGGGTACCGATTTCAATGTATTTACCTTGTTAGAAAGCTTATATGGAATTTTTCCATATTTTGATTAGTGCATCCTATACAACATTGGATTGACTACATTCTATTTATGGTAGTAGTTTTTCGAATTTTCGAACAATTTTAGCAGACGGAGGCCAAAATTGGAATATATTCGTAAGTATCGGCCACCCGAATATATGTATATACATATATCTTATTAATATAAATATATTGCAAGAAAAATCATATATTAATTTTAGTAATAACTTTCAGCATAAAAAATAACTGATATATGAAATGTAATATTACATTACTGTGCACATTAAGGCATACAAATATATGACTATTTAATTAAATTTAAATAATAAAAATTTTAACGTGTATTATAGCATGTAGTTCAGTGCGTAATAGTCGCTGTAAAAACTATTGGAAATATTGTATTAGTGACCTGCCTTTTGCAATTCATGTTTGCTGTAATAGGAGTCCAGTTATTTAAGGTATGAAAATCAAAATTTAAAGTTCCTCTAATTGTATATATCATTACTAATTATGACCGTAACTATGTACATATATTTCATTTTTAATAGAACCACTATTTTAACAACTAATTGAAGTTTTTCATCGCATGTATTGTATCGATTTTTTAACGCACAGTAATAACAGTACTAACCAATGACTGAAAATAAACTGTAAAACACCAAACATTTTGTACTGTTTTGTAATTTTGTTAAAAACACTACAAGATCAGTACACAAAATAAAAATCTAAACAAACTAAAAAATTTTTAGAATGTGTGTTCAAGCACACAAACTCAAATTATAATGTATTATTCCGACATTTCATGTAAAATTTTTAATGTTATCGTTATGTTTTTTTCCCAAAGGTGTAGTGAACATTTCAACCATTTTTCACAAAAGTAGTCAACTTTTGTAGCGATCGTTTTCCCAAGGTGTTGTATTTTAGTGTCTATCGAACAAAACGTTTTGGAAATGTTTTTTAATGTGCATTGTTGTCGTTTTGTTGGCATAATAGGAAGAAAAAAATTTGTTTGCATTTTTACATATTGCATGTATGTATTTCTTTGTGTTTTTAAATAAAAATATTGTATATACAATATATATATATATTGTGTATATGCATATGCATATATGCACTTATTAATGCATATACTACGCATATTTAAGAGAAGGTGATGTATTACACAGATATAACACTTTATATAGAATCGTAGAATAGAACCATATAGCAACGAGTATAATGCTTTCATAAAGTCGGTGCGGATTAGATAGAGAGATAATCGTATATATTTTGTATAGCTATTATTCAAAAGCTATTTACGTGTTTAAAGTAATGAATATATCACATTTGTTCAGTAATGGTTTGTATGAATATAGTGTTAGTAATAGACTTCAGCAATTCTAGTGCATTTGCTCTTTCCTGAAAAGAAGTGAGAAAGAAAATTCATGTAAGTTTTCCAAAACTCCAAAGAGAAAATTTGGTGATACCAAATGGTTTGCTGTCTTTCAAAAGTCTCTGTTGCAGTACATCTCGCTTCAGACATGTGTTAGGTTTTTGTTTGTCTGAAGCTGTACAATGCTTCAGAAATGGAAAATGGAGCTTTTTAGCGCATTAATTTTTATTTTAGCAGTTTCTCTTTGTTGGTTTAGATACCATACTTACTTACTTATTGTAGTCCTCTTCTTTTCGTGGAGTATAGCTTTCGTAGGAAATTTACTCTATGGGATTTGCTCTAATGAAGCCAATATGATTGTTTAATGCAAATACAAATGTTTTTAATATCTGAAATCTTGGGCACTTTTATGCAAAATTTGCTTTAATATATTAAGTTACAGGTCTTTATCTATTGTTGATTCTATTAATTGTAGATTACCAACCCCTGCTGCTTACATATACCCATAACATATTCGCCGACGTGATTAACTGTGTCACTTAAATTTTCTTTTTGGTGCTCAGAATTTGGCTTATACCACACATATGAGTAGCTATCTGAAGCATAAAGATTAAATTTACTCTCATCGGTAAAAAGTACTAAGCTCCAGAAAGAACTATCTTTGTACAGGTGGTGTTTGGCAATCTGGAAGCGAATTTTACGATTTTTGTCACTTATGAATTCTCTTGTTGCGGGCAGTTTGTGCGTTATAGTTTCTTAATACTTTTCGGATAGTTTCTGGATGATGAATAGTTCTAATAAACATTACAACGTCGCTGGCAATAGATAGGGCAATTTTATATAGGGCTTCTCTGCCTTTGTTTACCAATAGATTTTTGGCGCTATCATTTTTAATGTCACTTAAGAGAGAAGATGTAAGAATGACACTCAAAAATGATAATCTGCACATTTGAATGACACGCAAACAATATGGTGGCGTACTCACCAAAATTTTGGTGAACACATCATTCAGCTTTTCGCCAAAATGTGTGAGAATGATAGTCTAAAATATGCTTTCGAGTGACGAATGCAAGTTTCTGGGTGACAGACTATCATTCACATTATGTTGGCGAGAAGCTGAATGATGTACTCACCAAAATTATGGTGAGCACACTAACATGTGGGTTGCGGTTCAAAGGTCCAGACTATCATTTTTGAATGTTTTTCTTAAATTTTCTGTCTTGAATGACACTCAAAAAAGATAGTCTGCACCGCGCTTAAAAGGCGCAAATTCTGACATTTTTTACTGAACAACTATTTTGGCTAAAGCGCGGTGCTGACTATCATTTTTGAACGTCTTTGAAATTGCGCTCTATAATGCTCAAATTTATTCTAGTGACCGAACTTGAACACGCTCACTTTCAAGAGTCGTCACTCAAACAAAATTTTTGAAATGGTTGGCTGTTCCACACGCTGTAAGTGTGTTAGTGTAACCATGTAAATATATAATCTTGAATGATGAATGAAAGTTTTTGGGTGACAGACTATCATTTACAACATGCCCACCAAAATTTTGGTTGGCACGCTAACATGTTGGTTGTGTGTCATTCAAAGGTGCAGACTATCATTTTTAAGTGTCATTCTTAAATTTTCTCCTTTGAATGATACTCAAAAATGATAGTCTGCACCGCGCTTTTAAGAATTCATGATATTTTTAACAGAGACAAATTACAAGTCTTTATACATCTGTGTTTTTGGTAGAAGCTTTTCAACTATTAGATATTTACTGATAAGGCTAAAACCAACAAAATTCCATGAGTTTACATAGATCATTCTGTACTTTACAAGTTTTTATCGAAAGTTGAAAAGGTGTGTAGTAAACTCGCACAAGTCTTTTTTAATATACATACATATATTAAGCATAATTCCTACATATTAATAAATTACCGTACACGGTCAAAAATTTTCGTTTAAATTTAAAACTCAGAGGGTTCTTATATTTATCCAAACTTAAATGAGTTTTTAATTTAAACCATTCAGTTTAAAACAGTGAACGAAAATAAACAGTACAGTATCGTAGTGTACTGCTCATGTCCGAAACACATCAAAAAATTTTTAAAGTTTGTGTCCGCGAACACAAACTTTATTTTTAGAGTTTGTGTACTTTTCACGAAAATAGTGCTCATTATAACGATCTTTTCACGAAGGTAGTGCTCATTTTAGTTATCTTTTGCCGAAGGTAGTGGTCTTTTTAGTGATCATTTTCTTAAGGTAGTGGTTTTTTAGCGTTTGTCGAACAAAACGATTCGGAAACGTTTTTAATGTGCATTGTTGTTGCTTCGTTTGTATAAGAAAAAGAAAAAATTTTGTTTGCATTTGTATTGCATGTATTTTGTTTGTGTATTATTGATAAAGATATTGCGTATGCATTTATTGATGCAAATTTAATATTAGGGGATGAATTACATAGATTTAATATTTTATTGTGGTTGGATGATTCGTATAACATTTATAATGCCAATAAAAGGCAAGAAAACAAAATTTTAAAATTGTTAAGTTGTTAATTAAGTATATATGTGTATATTACAATAAACTCTGAAGGTAACCTGTATTATTATCTGGATCGAAAAAAATTTCCTAATGGGAAAAAATGAAGTGAATTGAAATAAAAGGAAGTTTTCAAAAAGCAAATTTCTTTTGCATTATTTTGTATACTTACTGCTCCTCAATACTTTGAATTGGTTCGCAAAAATGGGATAAGCTCCGTTGTAATCATTGCAATGCGTAATTTAACTATTCTGCTCGGATAATCGCCAAATTTACTTATAACGAAATCTGCCAAAGCTCTGATAATATATTTAATATATTTAAATATATTTTCTTTAACGAAAAACACTTTAAGATATCTCCCGCACGGCTCCATACTACATGCGCACTTACCAAACGATCACGAACAATTGATGCATTTTGCATTTGCGCATTTCTTCTGAGCAAAAAAGTGGAAAAACCAAGAACTAGTGTAAACACAACTGTATAACTGTGGCGACAATATAGCGCCGTAATAAAAATTCGAGGAAAAAAATCTTTCAGTTTTAATTTAAATTTGAATAGGTTTATAATCACAAATTTTGGGTTGAAAACTGAAACTTTTCGGGTTTAAATATTTTATATACGCATATTTTTGCTGACTTTAAACTCTGGGGTCTGAAAACTCAACCTTGATGGTTTCAAAATAAAACTTGCGGTTTATGTTATCAACTCACGCAGTTTATTTTCTGCGATTTAAACTTTAAAGTTGAAGCATTCGACTTCTAGAGTTTATTTTCTTATATATTACCAATTATAAACTTGAGTAGGTTTAAAAAGCCAACCTCAGAGTTTGAAAATATTGATGTAAACCCTAAGAAAGTTTACAGGGTTGAGAATTTAAACTAAAATTTTCGACCGTGTAGTTTACATAGACATCTAATAAAGAATGATTTAGAAAAAGACTTTCGGTTTGATCCTCTACATAGAGATTTTGAAAACTTTTCAGTTTTAGCAATCCAAAAAAGAGTCAGCACAATGTAGTAATTTTTGTGAGGTAATTTAAATTGGATTATGTCTTAATTCTAAGAGGGAATATTGTTTTATTAATTAAAACCATTATGACAAACCTGTTGTGTGTAACTAAAATACTATTTGTACGAACATTTATAGTTTCCATGCGAAAACCAAAGTTCTAAAACAAAATGTTTCAAATTTATTTTTCGACCTGTTTATGAAATGTTTTTTTTTTTTGTATATATTTTTCTTTTGGCTGTAGGTCTCTTCTTATTAAATAGTAAAAGATAAAAATAAAAATAAGATAAAAATAAGTTCTATATTTCGATTCTCCTTGAGAGTCTGAACCTACAGCCAGAAAAAAAAATATATAAAGAAAAAATTTTTTTTCTAAAATGGTGACTTGAATATTATTTCATAATAAAAATATAATAAATAATCTATGTAATAAAGTAAATATTGCTTAAAAGAGTAAACACGTAATAAATAGTACCAGTTCCATTTGCAACTTGAAATATTTTGTACATGAAAGTAATTATACTATACGTAAAAATTAAGAAATAT